ACCCCCCTCCCCCCTCCTTCCAACAAACAAAACACCCAAATAAGCAAATTACAAAGCCTTAAAACCTGTGGACAGAGTTGCAGAAAAGACTGGCTTCCCAAAACTACAGCCAGGAAAAGATAAGCAGAAAGGATATAAACTGTCAAAACAAATAATATTTAAGTTACTGATCAGGTAAAAAATTTCTCCAAATTCCATTTTCAAAATGTAAGTCTTGTGCCCTTATCAAATTTAGACAACACTAATCTCTCGAACTCAACATTTAGAACACACTTTCTATCTCCCAACTGGGATAGTTGTAATAAAAATTCTTTTCCACCCTTCCAAGAAAAAAATTGCAACAAGTACCTTTGATATGAGTCATACGACATGTTTATTGTTATTTGCATTCAACCAAGAAATATTCCAGAATCCATCATAATTCATCCGATAGCATAATTTGCAAAGATTACATTTTATGTCAAAACAATGCATCCTACAGCAGCATGTAGCTTATAAAATTTGCATTATAAACTCTCTTATGAAGCAGGTGAAAAAATAAAGGATCAAGAACTAGAAATAAGAAAACTCACCAAATTAGGCAGTACATTATATGCTTCAACTACGGCTGCAGACATGCACTAGTAGCAAAACAGAACGAATTAGTTGGTGGCTCTTGTCATATGAACTACTAAAAAGTGACCAAGTTTTTTTTTTTTTTTCTACCTTCACAGATAAAAATTTCACCATAGGATTTTACATTTGTAAGTCTATGGGTAGCACTAACGAGAAATTCGTAGGACAACTAACCTACAATATCAACCTCTTTGAAAATGAAAAGTATGTGAAAACAGCGGATCAGTTACTCAAACAGCACGGTCGGATGACTAACCAGATCACAAATGAAAACAAACCTGAAGCTGTTCCTTCAGATTTCCAAATGTTCCTCCATCAATAGAGGAATTCAAAACAACAGCTTGAGCCAATGCGGGCAGAACGGTTCTCATCATGGCCCCAATCCGTAAATTCCTAACCTACATAGAATAAAAATACTCAGAAACTCATAAGTTGGGAAAGAAATACTAAAAAAAAAAAAACCAAAAGGAAAGTGAAGCTGCACAACTGGGAATCCAAAAATTTAAAGACCATGCTCCAATCATTCAAATTTTCATCATGCTAATCAACTGTGCAGCCAGAAAGATAAAGATCATGCCCCAATCATTCATTTTTTTTCATCCTACAGTTATGTGAAAAACAACAGCATGATATAAATGTTGGTCTCGACACAGATATTCATTCCTCAAAAACAGACATTCAACTCACATTAGGGATTACATTGACAATATAACTATAATGGCATCATAGCTAGGAAGCACGGATACGGATAAGTGACACGGGTACGATATAATACGGATACGGCGATACGACAAAACTTAAAAAAATAGGATACGGGTACGGTCAGGATACGTCTATAATAAAATATATTTTATATATTACTATTATTTAATGACTTAGAAATTACATTTTTTCAATAATTTTTTAACATTAGTAAGTAAAATTATGAATTTTTACCGTGAAAATGATGTAATATCGTCTCATTATGATATGTTCATAAAATGAGTATGACCAATTGAAGGAATTATAACAACATTTAACTAGTTGGTTTTACAAGTATTTATTTTTTAAAGTATAGTGTGACTCATTTTTTTTATACCCTCTTAACATTTAATAATAAATAATACTTAAAAAATACTTGTGTCTTCAAAATCAAATAGAATTTTGTTGATGTTTTATATTGTATGTGAACTCCAAAGAAGAGGTATAACTTAAAATTGAAAATTTTACATCTTACTCCATATTTAGAAATATCCGCGAAAGTATACACATATTTTATTAATTATCGGATACGGATGATGCGTATCCGATACGTATCATCGAGTATCTGACGAGTATCGTATCCGATACAGGAATGTCGACCTTAACGAAGTATCCGTACTTTATAACATCATAGTTATTAGTATCGCACGATACGCGATACATATCGCGCGATAAGTCACGATACACCTAAAAAACTATACAAATCGTGTATTTATATCGTTTTTGTACAGTATTGTACAATATACGATACGATACGTACGAAACATATAGTCCGATACATATGATATGTGAAGATTATGGTTTTTTAATTTTTTTAATTTTGTTTTTTGGGGCTGAAATGGAGTCGTTTCACCCACAGGACTTATCTTTTAATCTCTAACTAGTGAAACAATGTCGTTTCAATGGTTAGGGTTTAAAACAAATAAAGTCTGTTGTTAATGTTGTTCAATTGAATCAAAATTTCTGATTAATGTAAATGTTATTTAAGCAGTTGATGTTATAAGTTTGAATTAGAGGTTTTTGAATTTTGATATTAGTGAACTATATTGGGAACTTGAATAGTTGGTGGAATATTAATAAAATGCTATATTATTATAAGTCTATAATTTTTTTGTAAAAGTATATATATATATATATATATATATATATATTTTATTAATAATTATTTAAAATTGCGCGTGTCTTACGATACACGATACACTATTTTTAAAAAATAATATGCCCTCAGATACACGATTTAACAACTATAAATGGCATTACAATCAAAATGTATGCAACTTATTTCAACACCATAAACCAGTCCCACCACAGATTTTGTTTCCACAAAACAAACTAAACATTACAAATCATAACTACTGCATCAAAGTAGCTTACATCTTCTCTTAGCATTTGATCCACAACGCCAGTAATATAAACAATATAAACCTGTTTTCCACTTGAATTAGAAAAATGCAACTGCAACCGCATACGCTAGTATGGTAATGGTACCAATATCAATAAAACACTACAGCAAGATGGAGTTTAAAATTATGGCAGCAAACAACGAGATTAAAGAAAATTGACCGCCTTGTCTTACTCTTATAGAGTCGGGACCAAATTTTATTTAATGAGAAGAAATAAATGTATACCCCTGCACAAATATTCCTAAATTGTGTGAAAGGTCAATAGGATGAATGAATAAGATATATACAAAGAACCCACAAAGATATAACAAAAATATTTTAGTAGCCTAGTGTCACACCCTAATTGACTTGGGTGCAAATGACCGGTCTTGGTGGCACCTTGCACCAAGGCATGCCAAAAATCGGAATCAAGGTGATGCAGCTAAATGGTTTGACAGATTGGGGTGAACCAACGCAGCATGAGACCACCCGGTTGAGCATGGCAGGATGGGTGGGCTCAATTGAAGCAATGTGGGTGCAGAGCTTCGGATTGCATGGCATGGATTGAAACCAGTATGCACATTGGTTCGTGTAGCAAGGTTGACTGCTAAATGTGGGCACATGGCTGCTGAATGTGGGCACCTAACTGGCACATGGCTGCTTAATGCATGTGACCAGGAGAATGTGGGCGGTTATGATGCTGAGACTCAGTCAAGGCAGTTGCTGAGGCAGTTCTGGACATCCCCAATCTGAATCCAGTCTAGATACATGCTGATGAAGGGCAGTTCCACAGCAGTTACTGGAAGTGGTGGAACTGCCAGCCAGGTGTTGCACAGAGACCAAGCCTGCTAGCCCACTATACTATGGAATAGCAAAATCGTGGGTAACTACCCCTTGGCAGATAGGGGTGTCATCTGCCTTCCTCTTGTATAAATAGGGGTGCTTGAGCATTTTGAAAAAGGGAGAGTGTTCTGGCTTTGAGAGTCCTTGTAAATTGTTGAGTTCAATATATAAGGTTTGGGAGTGTTGTCCCAGTAAATTCGTGTGTGCCTTCTGTGTGAGTTTCTGTCCCTTATTCTTAAGTTTGAGTGTGGCTGGTTGCAATAGCAACGCTTCACTGGTAACCTCAAAAGAAAAACAAAAGTTACCCGGTAACACCTAGTGAGATTGCAAGATTCAATGAATCTTACTATATTTTTCAGAATTTGGGAAGCAAATGCTTTCAAAAAATTAGGATTTTGTCCATTGAGGTTTGACATTGCACAACTATAGTTATAAAGAATGCCCATTAAATTTACAGAGTTTGTCTTATATGGCACAGAAGATTCTATTATTCAATGGGCTCGTTTGGTTGCCATATTAAAAATGGATGGATTAGATAAAGTAATATAGTCTAATACAATACAGATGGATAAAAGAAAAGACTAAATATATTATTAAAACAATACGTAATTTTATCTAGTATTTGGCAATACACAATATAAACATTGGATAGTAGTTATTTAATCCAATCGATTATTTGATTAGAGTATTATTTCATTGCATTAATATTGAATTAACAAAAATACCCTCAGTCCGTGTTTGTTACGTTGATAACAACTTGATTTTATCACTTAGGGGGTCATAATAGTAAATGTGTAAAATAATACGTTTCAGTTTGATTATAATACCACCACTCTTGATAGTATTAAAAGACCTCCATTATACAGGTCTATCGTATAAAAAATATACAATAATTATACGATTAATATACGTTTTTGAAATTAATACGGTATCAAATTTGCTTGCCAAACAAAGTATTAGACCCGATTAAATAAAAAATAGTACAATCCAATATTTAATCCCCTCATAATACGTCTACCAAACGAGCCCAATTAATAGAGTGCGAGTAAGGGTTTTCATAATATCTTTTTAATCTAACTAACTTGGAGAGTATTGATTCAGGAAATTTTAAAATTTGAGTCTCTATTATCTTTCAAATTCCTCTACTATTAGATTCTACGTCCTCCATTCTTCCCTCCTCTTTCATTCTCTCTTCTCTTTTCTTACTCCCCTTTTTGGGAACTCTCTCTCCCCACCCACCCCTCC